TGCCACAGCTGCACACAATGCCACACCCACTTACCCACAATGTCCTGCTCTCTCCTCTCCCCCTTCCCCCAACCCCCCAGCACCAGGCACAGCCAAGCATAGCCAAGACACACACCCTTACCTGTCCTTGCTAAACTGGCCACCTCTTCCTCACGCCCGGCCGGTTTCACCCATTCTCCTTCGCCATCTTCATCTCCCGGCCTTTGCCCCAAGTCCAGGCCCCCACCTCCTCCTCCTGGTCTCCCCAGTGTGCAGTGACCCCACCACTGCCCTGTGGGACGCCCGCCCGTGGCCCCCAGGGCTCTGGGAGGAAGGGCAGCTCCGCAGCTGGTCCTCGGTGCCCTGCATGTGCGGGCCCCCTGTCCCTCCTGTGCCCTCCTCTCTCGTCTCCTCGGGCCCCGGTGGGGCTCACCCGCGGTACCTCCGTGGCCCATGCGGTGCGTGAGCGCCGTGGTGCAGGGCTTGGGGTTCTACCCATGTTACACATGGAAGCACTCAGGGGGCTCCCTGGGGAGGGAATCCCCCTGGGCGGGACTGCCTCTGCCTCCTGTGTTGTCACAGGGCTCAGAGGGTCCCAGGGCCTCAGAGCCCCCTGGGGCCCTTGTTAAAGACCCTGAGCCCTGGCCCATCCCACACCTGCAGAATCAGCATCTCCGGGGGCGTCGGGGGTCCAGGTGGGTAACAGCCCTTCAGCCGAGCGGAGTTATTGCTGACCAGCCTCAGTGGGTACTGGGCTGGCTCCCCTACCAGGGGCGAGTTCACCGAGGACTCGTCTCTGTGTCCGCGACTCCGGCCTCTGTCCCGCACACAGTAGGTGCTCTGTGCTCGTTTGTTGAGCTGAATCGACTGCAGCCCTTGTCTGTCCTGGAAGGAGGAGTCCCGCCAGGCCCTGTCCCCAGGAAATGTATTCTCACCTGAGCCCATGACCAGGGACCATCTGGGGCCTCCTTTCTGGGCAGAGGAAGGCAGAGCTGAGACCTGCGCCTCGTGCCGGGGTCAAGCCTGTTCTGAGAGAGCTCCTTCCCTGTGGGCTCTGGAGTCAGAGAGACCTGAGAGTCAGTTCTGGTTCTGCCCCTCACCTGCTGTGTGACCTGAGGCAAGGTGCTTAACCTCTCTGAGCCTTAGTTTCCTCATCTGTCAAATGGGGTCATTGTGAGACTTAGAAGAGAGAATTGAAGTCAGGTATGTAGCCCAGAGCTTGGCAATTATTCAGAAGAGCCTCGTTGTTCTAGCCCCTTCTGGATCATTCTACCTGGTTTTACGGAACAAATAGAATGGGCCGCGTTACCCTGGGCAAGTTCATTCCTCCCTCTGGGCTCAGTCTCCTCATCTGTGAAATGAGTGCATTGGAACAGGATCTCTGAGGTTCTCGTTCTGCCCCCTTTTTTTTTTAGTTTTATTCATTTCAAACGGCCAGATTCAACCCGCAGGCCGTAGTTTGCCCACGGCTGTCTAGCCCCATCTGGATCATTGTACCTGGTTTTAGGGAACTAATAGAATGGGCCCCGTTACCCTGGGCAAGTTCATTCCTCCCTCTGGGCTCAGTCTCCTCATCTGTGAAATGAGTGCATTGGAACAGGATCTCTGAGTTCTCGTTCTGCCCCCTTGTGACCACGACTGTGTCCCCAACTCACACCGTGGCTGCAACCTCTGGGTCCTGCCGCGGAACCTCACTCTGTCCCTCGCTTCTCGCCTCCCCCCTGCCCTGCAGGTCTTTGACGACTTCATCTTCATCTTCTTTGCCATGGAGATGGTGCTCAAGATGGTGGCCCTGGGCATTTTTGGCAAGAAGTGCTACCTTGGGGACACGTGGAACCGCCTGGACTTCTTCATCGTCATGGCTGGGTAGGTGGTGCCTCTGGTGCTTGCCAGACGGAGTTCCAACCCGTGGGGCATCCTGGTGACAGTGGCGAAGCTGCGTGGTAATGTTGGGGCCGACAGGCACCCCTTCCTCCCTCGCCGGGAAGTCGCGTGTCCGCCTGCACTGTCAGCGGCTACGGGGTCTGTTTCACACGAGCTGCCTGACCTTGAGGAAGCCAGGTACCCTCTTTGAACCTCAGTTTCCTCATCTGTAAAATGGGGATGATAAGAGTAGCTACGTCAGAATGAGCACCCAGTGAATGTTAGCTGCTGCAGTATGATTACCCTTCGATCACTCAGCAAGTCAGAGAGAAGCACAGAGTCACGCACTGTCTGACTCCAAACTGTGACTGTTTCTACCAGGACAGAAGCTGCAGTCAGAGCCCAGGTCCCAGCGTGGCCCCTCGCAGCGCCTGTGTCTGATTCCGCTCTGGGCCTGGCTCCTGCTTTCCTGGGCCCAGCCAGGCTCATCCCTCCGACCCCCAGGGGAGGGCGAGCTCCCCGTGTCTGCGCTGGGGGACTGTGGAGAACAGCGGGGCACGGAGGACAGCACACCCGGACACAGGCCTCCACCTTCCCGGCTCCCGTCTGGGGAGAGGCAGCCAATGCTACATGGGAACGTGTCACGCACAAGATGAGGCTCTGGGCAAAGCGCTGTGGCTTTCTTTAAAAAAAAAAGTTTTTATTGATTTTTACATAGAGAGTTAGGGAGAGGAGAGAGAGAGAAACATCAATGAGAGAGACAGATGGATTGACTGCCTCCTGCACTCCCCCTACTGGGGATTGAGCCCACAGCCTGAGCATATGCCCTGATCAGGAATCGAACCCAGGACCTCTTGGTCTATGGGACGATGCTCAATCCACAGAGCCACCAGCCGGGCAGGTGCTATGGTTTTCTGAGCGCATCTCTGAGCCAGGCTCGGGGCTCGGGGCTCGGGGCTTGAGGACTTTCCCAGGGAAGTGGTGCGGGAGCCGAAGGACAGGCAGGCGTCAGCCATGCCCAGCAAGGGGGCCATGGGGCAGAAGTGACAAGGGGGAGGGAAAAGGCTGGAGGCCTGTGGGTGTCATCGCATGTGAGAGCGTGTGTGTGTGTGCACATGTGTGTGCGTGATGCCAGCGAGAAGGGGCAGGGAGGGCAGGCAGGCACGTGGCTGCGAGGGAGTCGGTCCCACTCAGTCTGCGTGGATTCCACAGGTCAGTTCTGAAGGAGAGGACGTGTCCACTCGTGTTCAAGGAAATGTCACACCCTTCGAGGCACCTTTCTAAGAGCGTGTTCAGTTTCACCGCCACGTGGTCAGAGTGGTGTAGGCCTCGCGGGGACTCACGCTGGGTTCACAGGTTTCCTGGGAGCCACGCCTCCCGTTGCCACGTTCCTCGTCTCATCCCCATTCTGATGTGGCCCAGGGTCTCCTTAAGTCGTTGTGCGTGTGTGCGCGCACGTGTGCGTGTGTGTGTGCATGTGGTTTTCTCTCTAATTTAAAGAACAGGTATTTGAGTGGTGTCGTTTTTCAGCCTGGCCTCTGCACATGTGTTTCCGTTGACCTTGGCGAGTGAGGACAGTTTTTGTCTGTGTTGCTCTCCCACTTCAGTCCCTCAGAACCCGGCACGCAGCGCTGTTCACTCTCCGCGGGGCGAGGCCCGGACGGGCCTGCCTCTTCTTTCTGGGCAGCCGGCCGCTTCTTCCTCGCTGGAGGCCCGCAGGGCTTCTCCTCACCTTCGGTTCAGACATCTCACTGGGCCGGGCCGTGGTGTAAGAGGCTCCCGTGGGACCTCCCGGAACTCCAGGGGAGGGGAACCCTTCGATTTCCTCTTCGATCATCGTCCTTTCTCTTCCGGTCCCTCCTGATTTTCCCACATGATGGGTCCTTCCCTCCATCTGTTCTCCACATCGGCCCCCTCCCCTCGCAGATTTCTTCTGTGCAAGGAGGGAATTCCTGGCCTCCATCTTCTCCATCACTGACCATGTTCTCCACACCGC